TATGAGTGTAAGTTGTTAATCTTGTTACTTTGAGTGTAGGTAAACTTATGAGTGTAGGAAAATCCAACAATCTTATGAGGTAGGTAAACTTATGAGTGTAGGTAAACCTAACTTACATCAAAGTAACAACCTACATCAAAGTAACAATATTTCTAATTTACCTAAATTTCTAATCATTACATAAATTATGAGTGTAGGTTGTGACTTTATATAAATTATAAAGTGTTGGTAAACTTGATTTATACATAAAGAAATTTGATTTATACATATTCGTGACCACGCTTGTAAGTAAAATATGTAAAAACGTGTTTTCAAAACACATTTTGAAAAAAAATTCAAAACCAGCACTCATTCTTATTTCTCACAGACACTCACAAGCACTCTCTCTATCCCTCTCTCTAACACACACACCCACAACACTCACACTCACATCAAACATATATAATTTTTAATATATATAAATTTTATTTCATAAAATTCAGAACAATTAATTTTTTTTTAATTTAATTTTTCTTTTCAAATAATTTATTTTATAACTGTCATAAACATAAACCTCAGGGGTGTCAATGTAATTTACCTAAATAAAAAATTACATTTTAAGAATTAAAGTAAAAAAATAATCATTTTATATAGTTGATTATTATTTGTTATTATCAATTATTATTATATATATTTAATATTAGTCTGAATTTTACAAAATAAAATTTATATATATTAAAAATTATGTATGTTTGACGTGAGTGTGAGTGTTGTGGGTGTGTGTCAGAGAGAGGGATAGAGAGAGAGTGTTTGTGAGTGTCTGTGACAAACAAGAATGAGTGCTGGTTTTGAATTCTTTGTTGAATTTTTACATTTTACTTAGAAGTGATTATTATCCACGGGTCAACAGTAAAACCGTGGTTTGCAACCACGTTTTCTGAAGATAGAAAGAATTACTTAACAAAAGCATGGTTATGTATAAATCAAATTTCTTTAATCAGATTTACTTTAAAAAAATAATTAATTCAAAATTTATGTATAAATAAAATTTCCTTAAAAGCGTGATTTGTAACCTAGACAGATATATCAATAATTTTGAATACGAAGACATTACGAAGATTCTTCTTTTATTTTTCTGTTCATATAATTTTATACTATAATTTGTATTAAGTATTGTATTTATTCAATGCGATTGGACAAAATTGGACAAGTCATACAAAAATCTTAAATCAAAGTGTAACTTTTTCTATGAAATTATTATTTTTTTCATTGAGTTCAAATAACTCGACTTATTTTGTATGACTTGTTCTTAATTTTTATTTCAAACATTGTTCACATCATTTTTTAAAAGTGGTGTTCCAATTAGTGAGATTTATGGACAATTAAAGACAAGTTACTTTTATTTACTCAAGCTTCTGCCAACAGGGACCTTAATGATAAAGTTATTTGGTAGGTTATTTCCTATGACATTATTCCCTAACTTAGGAAAATAACCTCATACGAAATAACGTAGGAAATAACTTAGGCAAAAAAATTATCAACCTGAATCGAGTTAAACTTATTTCAAACATTGTTCACGTCATTTTTTAAAACTGGTGGTCCAATTAGTGAGATTTATAGACAATTAAAGACAAGTTACTTTTATTTTCTCAAGCTTCTGCCAATAGGGACCTTAATGACAAAGTTATTTGGTAGGTTATTTCCTATGACATTATTCCCTAACTTAGGGAAATAACCTCATACGAAATAACGTAGGAAATAACTTAGGAAAATAGCGTAAGAAATAACATAAATAAAAAATTAATGAGCTCTCATAATTTTAAGCAATATAAAAAACATAACAAAAAAATTATCGACCTGAACCGAGTCAAACTTGAGTTTCATTAATATTAATGAGCTCTCATTATGTGTTAAAAATTAGGTATGCTCCTTTCGGATCTCAAGTTGAACTCTCAGTATGTGTCATGTTTATAGGTATTAATTGAGATTTGTCGGATCTACGTAGAAGGGACGTTTGGTGTGGATTGTAAGGTTAGTCGATAAATACGTAAACTGATTCAGACATCCGACTATCATAAGAAGTTAAAACTTAATTGAATAAACATAATGCAGACGTATAGAGAATAAGTCAATTGGATAATTCAAGTGGGTAAAAATTATCGAGAATGACTCATTTTATAAATCAAATATTTTAATTTTTTCAAACATAATTCTTAAACAAATTTTATTTTATTTTTATATCAAATGTTTTCATAATAGCATTTTTCATGACGACTTGAAAGGCCTCTTTTGGCAAAGAAGAACAAAAGTAATTTTTTTACTTCTAATTTTTTGTGGATCAAATTATTTGACCTCTAATGTTTATATCAATTTTTTTGTGGATCACTTCTAAAAAGTCATTTATTTATATCAAATTTATAAAAGGGAATGTCATGAAATTTAAGGAGGAAAAACTCGAAAATGAAATTCAACCCTAAATGGGGCATGAAATTCAAGTAAACTATACTTTTTATATTTAACCACGATTAGATTTGAATTTAGTGCATAAATTTAGTCAAACCAGTTTTTCTTATCGTAGGGGCATGTGGCATCAATGGCATATTTTAAAGTTTCTTTCTTTTTTTGTTTTTTTTTTTTTGGGTCAACATTCTAAGTAGTTAGATTTTTAATTTGTTAATAAAATTTTAGTGTACTACTTAAAGGGTCACCCATAGAAAATATTAACAATCACAATCACGACATAAAATTCAATTATTTGACTTTTCTATTTTGCCATATCCCTATCTCCAAAATATATATATATATATATATATTTTTATCTGACTTTTCTATTTTGCCATATCCCTATCTCCAAAATATATATATATATATATATATATATATATTTGTTCCTGGCCAAAATTATGAGAAAACTTCCATAGCAATTTCTTATTACAAATTTTGTTCCTTACTTTTCAATTTCTTATTCTTACTTTAAAAATTGAAATTTAGAACAAAAATATTTTTGTTACTTTATTAATTTTAAGTTGTTACTACTCCACATCACCTAATTAATAATAATTTACAGCCAAATTAACGTTTCTCTTTCTTATGTAATTAATTAACAGCATTAAAATAATTATTGTATACATTTAGTTACACTTTAGCTGCATAGGACTAAGGTAATTTATTGGAATGAAAATAAAAGGGAATGGCATGATTATTCCTTAAATATGTTTTGATTAAAAATAAAAATTTGTAGAAAGTGAAAGTGAAAGTGAAAGAAAAAAAAAATTAATAATTTGGAAATTTTGAAAGAAAGGGATAGAAAATTTCGAAATTTTAATTATAGATAATTTTGATGTAGACAAAATTAGATTTTCTTGTGTTTTGCCATTTTTTTTCCAATAAATTATAAAGTTAGTTACGATAATAATATACAAGAAAATTATTATTATTATAGACAATTATTTATTGATTATGTAAAAATTATTTGTTCCCAAAAAAAATCATATAACATTATTAAAAAAATTTAATTTATCATAAATTTCTTAAACCCTAATTTCTGAAACCATAACCCTTATTTCTGATTTCACAATTTAAAACCCTAACCCTAATCGAAAAATGATTTTACATTCATCAATTCAAAACCCTAATTAAAAACCAAAACCCTCATTTTTGATTTCACATTCAATAGAAAACCATAACCATCATTTTCTCATTTCAAACATAATATTAAAATTTTTCTAAACAAATTCAACATTCAACAGATTTCACATTCAACAGATGTCACATTGAACAGAAATCTGATTTCACATTCAATAGAAATCTGATTTCACATTCAACAGATTTCACAATTATAAACAAATTTAAGATAAATATAAACCATTCAACATTCACATTCAACAGATTTCTAAACAGATTTCACAAATATAAACCCTAACCCTAACCCTAATTTAAGATTTAAGATTTCGCATTCAACAGATTATCTATAATTAAAATTCAACAAATTATATATAATTAAACATATTCAACAAATTCAACAAATTATCTATAATTAAAATTTAACACATTCAACATTCACATTCAACAAATTATCTATAATTAAAATTTCACAAATATAAACCCTAACCCTAATTTATTATTTCTGATTTCACAACATTTTATTCACAAATATAAACCCTAATCCTAACCCCACATTCATGAACCCTAACCCTAATTTATTCACATTTTATTCACAAATATAAACCATAACCATAACCCTAACCCCACATTCATGAACTCTAACCCTAACCCTAATTTATTCACATTTTCACAAACACAAATACAAACACAAATATATTCACAAATATAAACCCTAACCCTAATTTATTCGCATTAAAGTAGATGATAGAAGCCATACCAACGATAGAGAGACAGTACTGAAGTAGAGGGAGCTCGATAGAGAGAGAGCAGGGAGCACAGAGACAGAGAGAGAGAGGAGTAAGAGCGAGCGAGAGAGAGAGTAGTAAGACCGAGAGAGAGACAGCAGGGAGCGAAGAAGAGAGCAGGGAGGGAGAGAGGAAATGTAACAAGCGTGAATGCAAAATATGAGGCTGGGAAATTATATATAAGTTTTAAAATCGGGGTTGTGAACCACGATTCACTTAATGAAAAAAAAATTTGTCAAAAAACGTGGTTACAAACAGCGAGTTCAGAATAAAATTTTTTTTGGATAAAATCGTGATTTATAACAGCGAATTAAGAACAAAATTTTTTTTTTGATAAAATCGTGATTTGGAACAGCAAGTTCAGAAGAAAAAAAAATTTAAAAGCGAGTTTTGTAACCACGATTTCTTAATCAAAAGTGTTTTTTGTAACCACGATTTTAAGACTTTCTCAATTTTACACGGAACAGGTGTATATATGTTGAAATCGTAATTATGAACCATCTAATTAGTTTATTTTGAGAATTCTTTCAAAACTAGACTTACTTTGAGAATTAATTTACTATTTTGGCTTATTTGGGAATTGATTTACTTATTTAGGAAATGCCGTATCTATTCTCTCCTCCACCGTCTCTTTTTTCCCTCCAAAAACCATGAGGAGCACCAGCAGCAGTCGCCTGATTGCTTCACCACTCATTCTTCAACCCATCACATCTCCAAAACACAAACCCTGCAAACCCATTTTCCTCACAACTACCACTCCCAAAACCCTAACCCTGATTTGCAGAATCGAAAACAGACCCACCACCAACAAAACCACCATGGATAACCCCAAATCCAACAAACCCACTCGCACTAGAAACCCTAGAAAATCATCCTACGGTACCTCTAGGAGGTCCATTATCAAGAAGTCCTTCAGCCAAGAACAGGTAATATTCACTGGTCCACTCTCCGATGATCCTATCATTGCTATAATTGGCGGAGGGATGTCAGGTCTTGTTTGTGCTCTCAATTTGGAAAAGAGAGGGATTCGCTCCACAGTTTTCGACACGGTTGGTCAGTTCTTCCCTTTTTTTTTGTATTGTTCTTGATATACTCAACTATTTGAATGTTTTGGCACACGAGATGTGTGTACAATTTAAATTAAGTAAAAATAAAATATTTGTTATATATTGTGTGCTACGTAGTAGTAAGAGTGTTTGTTAAATTAAAAATGAGGACATGCTACATAATGAGAAGCAATCAAAATTTTGGACACCAAGTCCAGCCTTTATTTAATATAATAGTATAGATAATATAGATGAATCAATTGACACATAGTATTCCTAAACAGTTAAGTGCACTATACGTGCAGTTGAAAAGATCATGGGGCATTACGAGGTAGTTGTGAATTGATCTGTATGTCAGACTTTGTGGGTCTCTCTATATCAGTCACTCCGTAAATGCTCTTGTGGGTATATATAATTAGTATATATAGAGGTAATTATAAGGGAGTAATTTAGGAATAGGGAAAAACTGTATCAATCCACACCAATTCAAGCCTTTGCTTTATATAACATAAGAGAATAGATAAGGACTTATATGGATTCCAATGGTTTAGGATTCATGAAGGTATTTACACTTCATGAATTAAGATTGGAACAACAAAATTCAAGCATTGCATCATATAACAAACTGAGTTGTATTAGATTGGGTTACAGTTTATTTCCCTATGAAGGATGGTGGTTTCATTACAGAAAGTTATAGCTTTTTAAGTTTTAACCAAGGTTTGTGGGTTTAGTATCGTGGAGTTATGCTCTAAATGAGGACGGTTTATGAAAGAGAGTGGTGAGGATGGATCTTCCGCACTCCCAAAAATTTGAAAAATATCAATTAATTTAAAATTATAGGGGTTTTCACCCCCAAACATACTTTCGCACCCATAGTGATAATCTTGGATCTGTTTGTGGAGGCAAAATTTAGGTTTCATAGGGGTGGCTTAACTTTGAAAGGGTTGGAACAATGCATTGGTTTTTTGTTGAGATATAATCGGATGGTGCAGTTTTGGCATGAAGATGGTGTGAAGATGCCCCCTTAAGAGGAATAATAAAGGAGGCCTACATAGAAGACCATTTGGGTGTGCTCATAATGATGTTGTGTTAGTCTGAATTTGTCAGGATGTTATGAATGGAAGTTAGAATTGGTCGATGCTTTCTTTGATATGTTGTATGAAGCATCTGAATAGGGGAATATGGAGTTCCCCAACCTTTTAGATTCTCATGTTGATTTCGTAGTTATTTTGAAATATTTTTGGTGAGATATTGGTTCTTTATGCTCATACTTTCCTACATACTTCACATGTTCGTTAGTTGTGCCCTCTTGTCACCTTTACTGTTATAACCCTTAGTTGTCAATCAAGGTTTAGAAACATAGACACATTGTTCATGCCAAAATTGTTTCTACCATTTTTCTTGTCTTACCTTGTTTTGTTTCTATAGAAAACTAAAGAAGAGGAAGAGAGCAGAAAGCTTCTCACCTAGAAGAGACAATACCTAAAAGGGGAACATTAACTTTGATTAAGAGTACTGCTGTGAGTATGTCTCTCGAATTCAACTCGGATTGTGCTTATTACGTGTTGGCAACTTGAACGACCCAACAAATGCGCAATTAGTGATGTTTCTTTGCATTTTGCATGGTCTCAAGGTGAAAGTAGGGGTTGCTTGATTTGACCTAGTTTGGTATTATTATAGTTGTATATTTAAGGTCTAGGCTTTTATGGTCTTTTGTACATAGATAGTTGTAGTGAGAGAGTCGGCTCATCGTATGTTCTACATTCATAGCGAAATTCCTTTGTAGTTCTTTGCTCATGGAGCCGATCCCATTTGATTGGCACTTAATGCTCCGTTTGGTTTGGTTTCTTTGCTTGTGGATGTGGGCTTATAGCTGAACCACAACAAACTAGGATAAAAGCTCAAAGTTGTTAATTTGGGGTGTTGATATGGCGACTAAATATGATTTTAAGGAATTTGATAGGCAAAGTAGCAGCTTCAGTTCATGCGATCATGCCTGCTATGTTGGTTCAATAGGGGTACACAGACCTTTGCTGGGAAAGGATAAGTTGCTAGAGACGATGTTGACTAAGCAAAAAAGAGGAACTTGCTCTAAAGCACTTAGTGTGATTGAGTTGTGTTTGCTTGATAATGTGCTTCAAGAGGTTGTAGAGACTTCAACTACTTCATTAAACGGGAAACCATCTACATGACCTAATCACTTAGGGACATGTTGTATTTGAAACGTCTCTATACGTTTTTGGATGAAGGAACATGCACTTGTTAAGATTCATCTTCATGAATTCAATGAAATTATTATGGATTTGAAAAACATCGATATTAAAATTGAGGATGAAAGATCAAGCCCTAATTGTTTTTTTCCCCCCTTGGCCTCTATCATATGAGCATTTTGTTATTAACTTGCTCTATGGAAAGAATACCATTTTTATGGAGGATATCAAATCAACTCTATACTCAAGAGAATTGAGAAAGAAGGTGTTTGGTGATAGTGAGGACCAATCTAAAGGTGCTAGAGGAAGAATGATAGAGAATGTAACCAACAATAGAGGGAAGTCTAGATCAAAGAAAGTCAAATGTAATTACTATCGTCAACTTGGGCATTTTAAGAAATAGTGACCAAAACTTGTGAAGAATACCAAAGAGAAGGAGTTTGTTGCTGCTGAAGATAATTCCAATGACCCTAAAATTGTTCTCCTAGTGACTTTTCGATGATGTATGCTCGGAAAATGAGTGGATTTTGGATTCGTGGTGTTACTACGACATTTTCCTAAATAATAATTGGTTTAGTTGATTAAGGGTGGCATATTTTTGAGAGGGAATAGCATGCCTTGTAAAACTGTTGGCATTTTGAACAATTTGGGTCAAAATGCATGATGGCAGTGTAAGGACATCATTTGATGTTCGACATGTACCAAAATTTATGGAAAACTTCTTCTCTTTGGGTACTATGGACTCCTAACGGTGCAAGTAGACAATTGAAGGTGGAGTTATGAAAGTTTATAAAGGTGTATTAGTGTTGATGAAAGACAAGAAAGTGGGCAACCTCCATGTGATTCAAGGTAGCACAATTTTGGGTGTTGTAACAAAATCTTCATCTACAAATTCATATTCTAAGATTACACAGTTATGGCATATGTAGCTTGGGCATATTAGTGAGCAGGGAAAAACAATGTTAAGAAAGTAGGATTTGCTTAGTGGCTAATAAACAAGAAAGTTGGAATTTTATGAGCGTGTGTCTACGGGAAGTAGTGTAGGGTCAAGTTCAAAATGGCTGTTCATAGGACCAAGGGTAACATTGTCACGACCCTATCCTTCCCCAAACAGGATAGTAACTATGACCGGCTAGTAGCGTCTGACTACCAAAGGCCTAACAAGACGAGACAAGATTGGACTATAATCGTGGGGCTTATGTGGAATAACCTGTTCATTATATTAATCAAAATCCATTCCGAGCATGTGCAAAAGTAAAATGAGAACAAAACAAGCACACTTCTTATTTATTTATCTCGATATTTACATGTCCAAATAACACAACAAAAGAGTACAACACCAAAGACATCCTCACAAAATCAAAACATATGAACAAGGTTTGTGTTCCAAGGTTACATTTTCCCAAAAGAAACAAAGAAAAGATAAAGGTTCTAGTGTGACTCATTCTCGTTTCCTTGCTCTTCATCTTCACCTACATACATATAAGGGAGAGGGGTGAGCTATTGCCCAGTGAATAGCGGTAAATGAATGAACATTGAAAGCTTTAAACATTCCTTCAAAGTAACATATTAACTTGTTTAAGACAAAACATAGCTTGACTTGCAAACAAAATACATAGTGATGAACATTTCAAGGATTACAAGGTGCTTAACCGGCCCAGGTACTGGCTAAACGCAATGAAGTGAGCTCGGCCATCATACATGATTGGATATTCCCCCAATAGTGGGCCTGATTGGATATTCCCCCAATTGTGGGCCTGATCCATGAATGTTATCTAAATACATGATAAGAGAGTATAGAATGTTCATTCATAACATAACATATCAAAGCTTGTAAACATAATCAGGTTTTGCATTGAAAGCATAATTTGATAAACATAGCGTTACTGAATTATTACTCACAAATGGCTCGGTTAGACAAATGGTTCCTCCTTCCAAAGCTTGACCTATACAAAACAATAGCATACATTGAAAACTTGCCTACTTGAATAAGCTTAACAAGTCGAATGCTTAACTTTGTTTAATGTTTCATAAATTTTTTTCGTCTCTTCATTGTTTTCCTAAGCTTACTTTCATATTTCTTAATTATTTTCTTAGCAAGAAATGAAAGGAAACTAAGTTAGGAAATGAATTAGAATGAAACGGTTAGAAAGAAAGTGAGCAGCCTTCACCAATTTAAATATATCTTTTTCTGTACTTAGAATTTGAATGAGAGACCACCATCATTGGAAACTAGACTTCCGGGGCTTGAATTTAGACTCTAGAATCACCTAAACCGAGTCCGGATGAGAGAGATATGCTCATTTGAAGTTGTAAGGTATAAACTGAAACAGGGCTGGCCGTACGTGCACCCATCTTGGCCTCTTGTGCCGTGGCTAGGCCACTCGAGCGGTGGGTCAAGACAGGCAAAATGTATTCTGCACGCTCGTGCGCCCAGTGAAGGCCGCGCAAGCGCCCAGCGAGCAGGAACGAAACCCGGGACTGTTCTTTGAGTTCTAAAGCTTTTTAACTTGATTTTCTTCATTTTCAACCCCAAAACATGATGTCTAAGGTCCAAATATATAGATAAATAATGCATAACTTGTGGAAAAATAGGTTTTTACATTGAATTCAAAGTTTCATGAAACAATTCATAGATTTTGTTAAGAAATTCAACACCTCTTCTCCTTACTACAATCCTCTATTTCCATCTTTTCAAACATGGATTAAACTCTCAAAAATCATCAAAACTAAAGGGAAACATGGAATTTTTACTTTCTATGCTTCAAAAATATCAAGAACAAGATCAAATCA